AGAGTGTTCCCAAACATACTCTTCATTTTCCAGAATGGGTAGAGCTAGCCCGCTAACTCTAGCATCTCTGTGGCTCTGATTTCTGTGTTAGCATTTAAAAACTCAGTGGCCATCTCTATAACCTTTGACGAGGCTGCAGTATTTGGTTACCCTTGACTCTATAGAAGGCGTGCTGTGCATCCTCTGGCTTTTAGTCTGGTCCTAGCCAGGAATAAGACTCTGGTTCTGCTCAAGGTTTGTCCTGATGCCCGTCTTCAAGCTTGCTGCTTGGACACACTGCCTGGTTTCCAGATCCTGTAATCCAGTCCCCCTTTGCCCACTCCCAAGGTCTTGTGTCTCTTAAGAGTGAGTCTGGATTTCTGTTCCTTCCTACTTTGTTCCACTCAATTTTTCCACCTCAACTTAGAATACTTGCATTCTCATGCCAATATGAACTTTGTGTTTGTTTGTTTTTTCTCAGATTCAAACATGAGATTCTCTGATATAACAGAATCTGCTCCTGCCATTTTGGGGCTGCTCCACCTTGTCTTTCTACCCCTTCTCCCCAACCCAAACCTGACACTGATACTCACTGTTCGACTCCATTGATATTTGCAAGCCAAGTCTGAGGTTTGCAGTGGAAATACCCTCTACCCTCACCCCAATAAAGGAAAGTATTTTATTACCAATAGTTTAGATTTGACTGGACAAAATGATTTAAAAAGAAACAGATCAACTTTTACTCAGTTTCATTATCTTCAAATTATATTTGTTACTGCCTACATTTGGGATCATTGATCTCACTCTTCCCTTCTTGGTATGCTAATTTCTCTATACAAAGAATTAAGGGAAAAGATGCTAGCTGGTTTCTGATAAAAAGGGGGAATGGCAGATGGGATAGTCCCCAACTTTTAAAGATGCAGCTTCTCAGAACTCTGAACTATTTGCTACTGTAAAAGATATGGGTGGACAGTGGCAATAGAGTTTCGTGACTTGACAATATAACTGTAGTTATTGATGATGTTATTTTGAAACAGTTTCCACTTTTTGTTTCTTATTATTTGATCTTTGTCTAGACAACAGCCTACATTTGTGGAAACACTATAGGCTTAAGAATCAGAGAAGCCTTGGTTCAAATTCTGACTTATGAGCTATATTATCTGCATTATTAACCTTTCTAAAACTCAGTTTCTTTATCTGAAAAGAGATAATGGAACAACTACATGTTAGTCATGGGAGATTAAAATAGATCATATTTCATTCTTTTCTAATAAGCACGGAGTCCAGTACAGTTGCATCCATCACCAAACACAGAAAATAATCCATAATACATAATCCCATATGTCCACATTCACCTGTTTAGAAATAATAATGGTGGCAAACATGTACATTTCCTACTGTATACCCAGTGCTGTTTTAAGCACTTTGCATATATCAGCTCATTGAAATACAATATGATGCATCTTTTATTTTAAGTTGACAGGTTACAGAATTGGAGAAAAGTGAAGTTAAGAAGGTGGTTAAAGGTGAGAAGATGAGGCCTCTAAACAGCACATGTAAGACAGCACTAGGATTCCGCAGCCTGGTTTGACAGAATGAGAAAAGCACAGAGAAGCTCTCACCCTCCTCCTTGCTTCTCCCTTACTTCTAACTAAAGGGCTTGCCAGAGGCAAAAATATGAAAGTGGGCAAAACCCATGTTAGCTTGCTTCAGTATCCAATGCCATCATCATCCTATATGCCCTTGATTGAAAAAGTTATTAGTTCTTTATTTTGTTCATTCTCTATGTCCTGTGAAACCTGAGGAGCAAATTATTATGTAGTATATTATTTCTGCTGACTTTTGACTAAATATTTGCTTTTATAATTATAGTTGGGTTGAATTGTAATTCATGCTTCCTTCAATTTACTTATTCCTAATTAGTATTCATACCTGTAACATCTTGGCAACCAAGCATTGTAAAGGCTTTAATTTTCTCCATGTTTGAAACATGCACAGTAAAATCTATAGCTTCTTCCTAAGCCTCCTACCTTAGAGAAGTTCTGATTATTTTCGCAGAACCTTCTTATTATGGTCTAATTTAGCTGAATTCTATCACTGGAATTATAATTCATTACTGCATCATCTTTCAATGATAGAAAAACATGGGATAATAAGACAACCAAGAAAGGGATGACCGTACATTTAAAAGTGGAGTCTTACTGTGTAGTGGACGACTTTGGATGTCCCTGAGGGGCACTCTATCAGGTTCTTTTGTCCTGGCATTCAGCTGTACCTGGTTTTCTTTCACATTTCTAACATAAGAAAAATGTAGGCTATACCATATTTTTCTCTAAGGTATAATTATTCTACAAAAACACTACACATACTTGAATTCCAGCAAAATTCTTTTTAATTTTTAAAATCAGCAGACATATGGCCCTTAAAATTTTTCTATTACCTTTGGTTTTTTTTTTTTCAATAGCAATTCAAAATGTATGAGATAGTTCATGGTATAAAACAGCACTGTGTAAATTTTCCAGAAAATAAGCTGGAATCATTATGATAATTAGAAATCTTAAATCAGGCAGGTTATACAGAGGATTTCTCATTTATATTCCTCATAATGTACTTCGTTTTGTCCTGTACAAATATAAATACTCTCTGTTTGTTTTATCTTCCCCTCTCTCTGGCCATACCATCATTGCTCTGGCTTCAGTACATGACATTGCTATACCATATTTTTCTCTAAGGTATAATTATTCTACAAAAACACTACACATACTTGAATTCCAGCAAAATTCTTTTTAATTTTTAAAATCAGCAGACATATGGCCCTTAAAATTTTTCTATTACCTTTGGTTTTTTTTTTTTCAATAGCAATTCAAAATGTATGAGATAGTTCATGGTATAAAACAGCACTGTGTAAATTTTCCAGAAAATAAGCTGGAATCATTATGATAATTAGAAATCTTAAATCAGGCAGGTTATACAGAGGATTTCTCATTTATATTCCTCATAATGTACTTCGTTTTGTCCTGTACAAATATAAATACTCTCTGTTTGTTTTATCTTCCCCTCTCTCTGGCCATACCATCATTGCTCTGGCTTCAGTACATGACATGTTTCCTAGTCTGGGTCCCCAGACTCAACCCCTAGAACTCCAAGAAAATATCAAAGCTGCCCTATACACTTACCCAAGATACATATAGCATCAAAGATATGTCAGAAACACTTGGCCCTGGAATTCATTGCTCAAACTTAAGAAGCAAGTTCAAGAGAATTTGTGAACCTGTATTTTTCAATAAATACATGAATGATGGAAAGCACAATCTTGAGTGTTAGAGAAAGAGTAAATCCATTTTGTAAGTTAAAAATTGCTGATCAACTATTACTACTGGAACTGTCCATGGTTGAATAATGTACAGGAAAATTTGAGGATCATATGAGATATTCCCATTGATTTTCTTTTTCTGTGAGGTGCCCTAGCTTGTCTCAAGGGAAGAGAAAGTTGATGTCTGTGAAATCTAATTATATTTTGAAATTGTGAACTGTTTGGTAACCTCAGAAGACATCACATTTCTTTTTCTTAAAAGCTAAATGATATTTATACTTAAATAGGAGATTCCCATGTTTTTCCAAAGGAGAATATATTTATCTATTTATTACTCTCATTTAGCTGTATGAATTTAGGGCCAATATAACATGAGAAGGCTTAGAGAGAGCTGACTGGTGGTTGGAGAGATTAGTATAATATTGCCCTAAGCCTGGAGGAAAGAAAGTGCTCCAAGCTGATTCAAATTCAAGCTGATCTGTTCTATTTTCCAGAAATAACTGGGTATAACAGTGACACTGCAGAATCATCATAGTGTCTCTCTGGTTTAGGATCAGACTTTGATCCTACCTCGAGGTACCTTTCTTTGGCAACCTCTACCTTGAATTATAAAATAATAATTATAAAGAAGTTAAAGATAATTTGTAAGAGCTCTTATTTTGTATAACAAGGCAAATACCTCATATATACTACACACTGAATGTTTACCCCTCAGAAGAGACTCCTAAAAATATTTAACACTGGCTACCTATTATACATAATGAAACTAAAGAACACCTTTCTCTAAAGGAGAAAAGAGATACACCTTAATGAAAACACCTTCTGGATAAAATGAAACTACAATCTGAAACAGGTTCTTATGTGCAGATCATACTATAAAAAGAAAGGAGTCTAGATGGATTAGTAAAGAGGAAAATAAAACCTATAGTTCTCTACTGTTTATTTACCCTAAAAGTACTTGCTGTCCTTCATATAAAAAAACAGGCACCCTGACATTGTGAAATTCTATTTAAGTTACAATTATTCAGTAAGTAGGTATGGGGCTCAGACATTCAAGATATTGTTATGATTTTAATGAGAAATTAATAAGGAGTTCACCAAATCAGACCAATGGTGATGACATCAATTTCTAAAGTCTTCCATTATTTAAGTTGGAAAATTAAGGTGCTTCCACTAAACACCATTGGTCATCTGGCCAATAGCTAAAATATTTACACGTATCCTTTCAGAATTAGAGGGGCCTCATTTAGTTGTCAATACAGTGCAGATTACTGACTAACCATGATTTAACTCTTGAGGCAGTGCATATTTTAACATAACTTATTCTTTTTAACTGTCAACATAAGAGTCTTAATTTATATTGGAACTCCATTCTCTAGAAAGGTAGTTTAAAGTTGCCTAGAATTCAGCAAGTTTAATTTTTTGATAATAATAAACTTAGAAGGCTAGCTCTACAGTTTTTCTTTACTAAGTAATATCATCATGATTCATAATTACCTATGGTATGTCAATACTTAAATGGACTCACAATGAAAGTTTACTTATGATGGAGAAATGTTTGTATTCTATATAAAAATCTCTAAATTAAAGAGATGTCCATCATTTACTATTGAGTTTAAGTTAAAAAGAGTATGTATCCTTGCAATTTAATTAAGATCATAATTTACTGTTAAGAAGTATTTACACATAAGAAACTAATCCCCATTACCTTATAAATATCCAAGAATCCACACTGGTGGTCAAATCTGGTGTACAGTTCATTCAGCATGCTGATCACCTGCATGGGGGTGCACTGGGCACAGATGGCTGTGAAGCCAACGATGTCCGAAAAGAGCATGGTGACATCATCAAACTTTCTGGCCTGCACTTGCTGCCCTTGCCATAACTTCTGGGCTACATCGCCAGGGAAAATGGAATATAGAAGATCCACTGTTTTCTTCTTCTCTTCTTCCAGGGCCTGGTGAGTTCTTTCTAAAGTTGCCTTTAATTTATCCATCCGCTTCTTCAAGCCATCCTGGGCCTTTGCCTGTTCGCCAACCAAAATGACATCTCGGGTAGCATCGTGTATAGGTATGTCAGAGAGATGCAGCCCTCGGCCCATGAGTTCATCCAGCTTGTCCACACACGGAGAGCCCAAGAATAAGATGGAATTTGATTCTGGGACATGAATCATCTGTCCCTTGATTTCCATCACCTGCAAAATTAACATGGAATTTAAATCACTGCTCTTCACATAGCAGGTCCACTAAAAGTAATCTATTATTGATGAAAAGGAGGAACAAGAAACGAACTATTAGCTAGACTGACTTTCTGCATACATATAAGCAACTTTAAATAAGATTTACCACCAGTGTAATTTCATGGTTCTGAACAGAAACATTTCTTTGTCTTCCACTTGGCCACTTTCTAAAGACAATGATGAAATGGAAGGTGGGATCACTGAGAAATGAAACAGGAAAACATTTTTTATTTAGAATAAAATTATACCCAAACAGGTTCATGAGTCAGTTTAAAAACTTTCAATCTGTTTAATAATAATAGATTACAATAAATCCATCGGTCAAAATAATTACATTTAGTTGTCATTAAAGTAACACTGATAAAATAAGTCCAAGTGATTAAAATGAATTTAAATAATTGTTTGGCCTTAGGTAAGTCATTTTCAACCAGTTGTAAATACAGTAGTGCACTGACTAGATTAGTACACAATTCACTTGGCCTTAAAATAAAAATTTAACTAGGTACGATTAAGCCAGTATTACTAGAAAAAACTGGCACTCAATGAGCATATTCACTGTAAGTCAAAAATAAATCCTCCAAATCAGCATACCAACTAAAGGAATTCAGTTAATGAGATAACAAATGTGCGGAAAGAGTGATTTAAACCTATCCCTCCTTTCTGTACTCTTTGACTGGAGAATTTGAGGAATTAATACTTAATAGAAAACTTAGTGCACACAGGTTTACCCTTTCTTAACTTGGTGCCCTAAGAAACACTCAGAGGGAAGAAACACCTGTAGGGAAGAAAGGTGGACTTAGGATACTGCTATCCAAATATAGGTATTTGGCTTATAATAAGGTCTCTCAGCACACCTGGGGAGGAAAATGGTTGTAATTACCTGGAAAGAACAGCCTAAGAGTTGACTAACCAACAGTGTGTATCAATTTCATCTTTGTCACTTTCCATTTCCATGTGGAATGTGCTCAAAAAATTTATTTTCCTTTATTATTCATAGCATGAAATAATTAGGCTAGTTGAAACAAAAGGCATAAAGCAAATATGGGGTAAAACTCACAAATTTGGATTTTTAAGTCTGCAACTATGTTTATTTTGTTTCCCCTGCACCATTCACCAAGATCTAGTCCACAGAAGGAAATAAAACTGAATCCTTGACTGACGCTCTAATTTTAATGAAATGAAATGTTACTTTATCTTATGTAAACTTTCTGCTAGTGTTCACTATTTCCCCCTTTTATACATAATACTCTCGTTTGTTCATTGAAGTATTTTTGTTTTCTATTTATTAGTACTGCTCTGAGTGATAACAGAAAAAAATTAAAGTTCCCCTTTTCAAAGATATTACAGTGGTGGTGGTGGTGTGTGCAGTCAGTATAGCTCAGACTGAAGAAGACAGTTTCAATTCCCTCCTTCAAGGGGGCCTCTCAAAATGCTGCAGGCTATGGTTTGAGTACAAAGAACTGTTCTGAAAAGTATTTCCAGATTGTTTTGCATATGCCTGATATGCTTTTTTGGAGAGCGGTGTTGTTAATGATATATCCTTTCCCACTACTGCCATGGTAAGGGTGTAATAAGGAAGACACATATAATGTACAACCTCATAGTTAAGAAATAGAATTCTTTTTTCTTAAAATTTAAGGTAAAATCAAACCTCTGATGCTCATAGATTTAGACTTCTCTCTAGTCTCTCTCTCCCCTCATATTTCTTTCTTTTTTTAAAAAGAAAATTAGTTACTTTTTATTGAGTATAGTTGCTTTACAATCATATCTTGGTTTCAAGTATACAACACTGGGGTTCAACAGTTACCCACATGATTAAATCCTCACCGCCTCTAGTGTAGTTACCATCTGTCAGCATAGGAAGATGTTACAGCATCATTGGCTCTGTTCTCCAGGCTGCACCTCCATCCCCATGTCCAACTTATATTATGATTGAGAATTTTCATGCCCCTTTATCCCTCTTACCTTCCTCAACCACCCACCCAAACTGCTCCCTGTGGTAACCACCAGTTACTTCTCAGTGTCTATGAGTCTACCACTATTTTGTTCATTTTGTTTTTTTGTTTTTAGATTCCACAAAAAGTGAAATCATATGGTATTTGTCTTTCTCCATCCGGCTTATTTTACTTCACGTAATATTCTCTAGATCCATCCATGTTGTTGCAAATGGCAGTTTTTCTTTTCTTTTAAGGACTGAATAATATTCCACTGTGTAAATGTACCACATCTTCTTTATCCACTCATCTAGTAACTCCACTTGTAAGAATTTACCTGGAGAAAACAAAATTTCTGCTTCAAAAAGATACATGCACCCCTATGTTTATTGCTGCATTATTTTCAATGCTCAAGATACAGAAGCAACCAACGTGTCCTCACATTTCTTTCTAATTATTTTCTTTTGCTTTTCCATCTTTCTTTCTTCTCCTTCCTCCTCTTTGTTCTTTGGACTTAGGTTTTTTCCACACCCTCTTTCATTTGGTCTTTATCTTTCCTGCTCAGTGCCTCTCTTCACTTATTCTCCACTTTCCCTCATTTTCCTCAGTGGTTCTTTCTTTTTCTTTTTCTTCTCTTTTCTCTTTCTTTTTATTTCTCTTTTCTTCCTAGATATCAATGCCCACACTTCCCACCACAAATGGACCTTTTTCTTTTTTTTCCTTTTGCCTCCATCTCTCTTTTAAATATGGAATCAGTATATGTGTATATGCATAAACAATACCATGTATCATTTATTATATGTAATAAATGTTTTTGTATAACTTACAAAGAAACTGAGTTTAGTATTATATTCCTATCTCAAAAATATAAAACATAAATGTTCTTGATTTACATGTGGCCATTAGTGTTTTCTTTTTATTAATCTCTGAATCAGCAGAGCCTGAGAGAAAAAAAATACTTACCTTCTACACTACAGAAAAACAGCTCATTGAAAGAAGCTCCAACATACAGAGTAAATAACTTCCTTTTTTTATATTTTTCATCAATGAATTTTTCCCTTATTTAATAAATAGGCAAACTCAACAGAAGCATTTTGTCTCTATCATAAATGCATTTTTACTTTGATTGGAAAATAACATATATTATTATTATTATTGCATTTTTTTGTTTCATTATAATTATAAATTCAGAAATTCACCATGATCTTCATTTATTAATTTAGCAATGTAGAAAAACTGTTATGGGAACTACATATTTTTAGGTGGAGGGAACAGATGTGTAGAAAACTGCATGAAGTGGGAACATCTCTCTAAATTTTTAGTGCATTCTAAATTATATTAAAGTTTTAATAAAATAGCATAAGGAATAAGAAAAGTAAATTGTCCTTAAATCTCTTATATTTCTGAAACTGGTAAGCATAATAAAGGAGAGCTTTTGACTGGGCAAAAGGATTAAAAATAATCTGATCACAAACCTGGTTGTCAGGTTCTGTTAAACTGTGTTATTTCTAATATTATGCATAGATATCTCTATAAAAATACTGAATACTATTATCAATAAAATTAGTTGAAAATTGAGTATGTCCAGGTCATATAACTGTATACTACCCATTCTTATATATTTACACATAGTAAATAAGGATTAACCCATGTTCTCATGGAAACTCAAGTCTTATAGATAATCATTTGTAGCACTGTTGAATAATGGTTAGGAAAGAAGGATTTGGAACAAGTCAGACCTGGATTTAAACTCTAGCTCTCCAGAAATTTAAGTGTGCAAACTGACTTAGATTCAGTTACCTATCCTTTTAAAGCTGTTGTTTCTTTGTCCATAAAATGGAGATGATAGTGATGATACTGACGAGGATGATGCCTGTACTAACTCAACACATCTGTTGAATGCATTCTATCAGTCAGGTACTGTTGTGAGTACTTAATATTTTTTGTTATTGAATTTTACTTTATGCTAGCTTTTACTAACCTCATTTTTTATATGAGATTTAGGGAGGTTAAGAGACTTGCTAAGAATATACAGCTAATAAAAAGCAGAATAAGTATTCAAACCCAAGTTAGATTGATTCCAGAAAACATGCTTTTAACCACTGGGAAAGCATGATGGGCTGGGTAGGGAGGAAAATAACAATTCTAAATATGAATAAATGTGATGGCAATATAACCTTAGTGAGATATACACAATAGGCAGCTGAAAAGAGATAAGTTGTTGCTTTTGATATGGATGAAACAGCTATCTGTATGCTTATGCACTTAAATTCAATTCAGCAAAAAGGTCATTTCTAGATGTGATTTCATATATTTTAGATCACTGGGACAGAACATGAAAGCACAAACAGAATGATATGTCCCTGGAATCCAAAAGGACCTTTTTTCTCACAGAGTAACATTCATTTTTGAAGAATTAGCTCTAGCAAAAAAAAAAAAAAAGGAGGAAACCACAGTGATCAGCCCAAGAAAATTCTGTCTTCATAGTCCCTAGGTCTTCCTGCTCACAAACCCTGACTGAGACATCACATGGCAGGAACCACCAGCAAGAGGATTCTGCCACAACAAATGCCCAGCCAAGAAGCACTCTTTATCCACACAGACAAAAAAAACCCTCCTCTTTTGCATAATGGCACCAGGGTACCAGGCTTTGGGAGCTTGTTCTGCTCCCTCAAGCAGCATTAACAAGGGCCACAAGGAGCCCCAAGGACATGAAATTAGCCAAACAGATGAAAATAGAATCATATAACCTCTGAAAATTACACTACACTGAGGCCAGCACTTGTGTGCCAAATCTAAACAGAGTGATTGCCATTTAAATATGATCAAGTGTCTTCTAAGATAACAGCCAAACTGTCTAGGATATAGTAGAAAACCGCCATCATAATAAGAACCAGGAAATCACATCTTAAATGAGAAAACACAATGAATTAATGCCAAGAATGAAATGAATCAGATATTGGAATTACCTGTCAAGAATTTTAAAGAACCCACCATGAAATGTTTCAACAAGCAATTATT